AGTTTCCTTTTTTTGTGATAAATTGTAACAAATTAAACCTTCTTAGTAACTCACGCTTATTCTTCCTTTACAGACCTCATGGACTGAAGGTTTATAGCTTTGTCGGCGATCGCACAGGAGTTCTCCACGTGGGACCAAACCAAATCGTGATTGGTCAGTTTGCCGATCATGAGTTATTCGAAGTAAACGTGTTTGTTTACAAAGACGGGCACTTTCACTTACCACCGGCGTTCACGTGTTATGGAATTGATATCACTACTAGGTGAGTAAATAAGCTGTTCTTACAACTGATATCGTGGTTATTAGGTGAGGATTTCGGTATTTTTGGATGATGTAGGGTGTATTTCAAAACCTAGATACCGAAATACAGTCGAACCTCCCGTCAGCGACCACACAAAATGTCAAGCCTAGGTGGCCGCTTATGGGAGGTGGTCGCTTACGAGAACTTAGACCATATTGGGTCAAACTTTTGCCTCATTAGCATATGATAACTGCAGAGACCTACCCAATGTTTTAAATGTTTTATTCATCTGTTCATGTGATAAGACAATTTCGAGTAAAAATCCGGTACTTTCCATTGAGAAATTTCCGTCTCTCGTACCATCTAGGAATGCGATAATGTTACAACACCTTATTATCCAATTTACGCTCTATTATCCGTCAGGTGGTCGCTTGTGAGAGGTTAAAAACAAAAGAAAATTTGAAACTTTTAGCTCTAAAAGTGGTCGTGGTTGTTTACGAGAATTGGTCACTTAAAAGAGGTTCGAAATATAGTGATTTGACTGGAACACTTCTGGTAGTTTGGAAAATTGGTCGCTGAGGGGAGGCGATCGCTTACGAGAGGTGGTCTCAATCGGAGGTGCGACTATACTAGAAAGTGACATATTTATGGTATCGGTAATAAATGCCTTATTCTATGGTTTGACATAGAATACGCGCGGACATTTTGCTCATTGCCAGTATTTTTCCTAACCCTCCGCGGAAAAATACTACGCAACTCGTAAAATATCCAAGCATATTATATGTTAGACAGTCTGAAACCATCGAATAAGTGTACATATATTGCCTTGCTCCTGATTGGCTCAGACGGTAACATCTTCACTGTGACTGGACAGTGCAAGCTAGAGGAGTTAAATGCAAAGCGAACCCTGTTTCAAGGTTTGGATTATTTTAATTCTAAAGAAAAGCAACCGACACAATTTCGAAATCTTTATAACACCGGAGTTGCTTTAAATAACGACTTTTCCTCGTTCCAGGAAAAAATTAAAATCTAATGCTTCAAACGAACGAGTGTGAACTGGTATTTTTCCCGTGGGCGAGGGGGAGAGGCTACTGATATTTTTCCCGTGGGGGG